GGTTTCTTCTTTGTGTCCCTTGGTTGGACGTTTCGTGGCTCAGGGTAGTAGCGAACTCCTCTGTAGCCTCTCGTATGCCTCTGTGCTCTTGCAGAGGTCTTCAGTAATGTTTAATGAGTACACTGTGTGAGTTTCAATGTCTGAAACAGGTGCACGGTGAAGATTGCCCTCTTCGAGTACTTGGAATCGTTACCGGGATTTGAACTCTCAAAGCTCACAAGCACCGATGACACGATTGGATGAATCTCGCTCAATTTCTGGAGTTAGAAGCTTCCAAGGATAGCCAGAGCACTGTCGTCGTGTTCCGCAACTTCCTTTGTATTGGTCTCTTTACCTATTTCGCCTTGATCAAACAGTAGCTTGGATCGCGACGATGGGCTCTTGCTCGACCGATTTGACGTGTCAACCTCTGATTTCGCGCGATTGAAGATAACTCACTGGATAACAGACGGATTTCCTTCGTTAAAGTATGAAATCACTCTGTAATCGCGTGTTCTTTACACTGGTACCCTTGGATGTCCGTAGTTCCGGCCGGAAACTTGAGGAGGATCGACAATGGGATTCTCAGTCTTGCTTTGATGACGTTTCGTCTGTTAAAGGTGTTTCGATGGTCTTATAGTGTGGCTATAGGTCAATTCTGCGCACCTCTTCTCTGTTGCAGGTGTTACTCACTTGCTTTGACTTGATAGTCTAATGGTATCAACTTGATATCAATCTCGAGGTGTTGATCTTCGAACTCGAGATGAGACTTTTGCTTTTCTGTGTTGTTTGCTAGTAATACTGCAGCTTATTGGGAGTAATTTGGTTTTAGATTAAGCTGAAAAGCAAAAGTGAGGATTTTCTGGTGGTGCATAGCAATTCTTGTGATTGAATTGGATATAAGGACCCCCGTAGCACTTTAGACCTAAAACTCCCTTGGTTCCTTGCATGATCAATTTACATGCGAACCGGACTAGATGATTAATACACGAGTCAATAGTAAAGAGGTGTCAGGTATGTTTCCTCCAACACCCATGCCATCCATTCCAACTGGAGCCCCCATGCCATCAGTTCTGGTTGGAGCCCCAACTCCGACACTTTCCTCATCGCTCCAGGCAGCCCTAGCATCTGGAGGGGAGGATGATTTGGAGGAGATGTCTCTCAAGAACGATTCCTCGTCAAGTGATTATTTTGACTATGACAAAGAAAGTGATGAGAGCACGGGCAAGCATGGGGACGATGACCAATTTTTCAGTGGACTTGAGGAAGCTGCTGATGGTTTGCTGGGCAGCTTTGGCCTTGCAAACAAAAAGAAACGAGGGCTAAATGATGATGATTTGGATGATGCAGAACGTGATCGTGATTTGAATCTTGATATCAATGACTAATAGTATATGTAAGAATAAGATTTGGTTGATTGTTGACAAAACCAAAGAGAACACACAATAAAATCAAATCTAGATGCTTAGCTCCTACATGCCATGGACCAAAACATGGTAAAGGCCTGCACCATGCTCAAGCTTATATTGGCAAATAACACAAACTGCATCAAAGCAGATTGGAAATCTCCAGACAGGATGACGAAACCTATGCCCCAGGCAATTGAAGGTCTTTGTCATTCCATTGAATGCCTCATGCCTCTTCAGAGCACGACGTTTGAACTTTTTCACGAGTGGATCATCAATATTGTTCGGCAAAGCAACAGCATCAAAGTCTTCTTCAGCATGATAACCGCCATCAGCGATTGCTTTCTTGTTGATTTGTTGCAACTTATCTCTGAGTCCACGGGTTCGGAAAGTTACCTGATCAGTTTCACCAGCCTTGAAAGGACCATTCATCCAAACAAGACGGCTCTCAACCAAATCAATTCCAAGCTCATAATTCACTCCAGCTTTATTGTACTTGTGTGAATAGAATTCAGTATCATACGTAAATTCTGGATCTCCAGGCTCATTGACCCAACAGTGGGTCCCATCAACAGTAATAGCCCATTTGTAGATTGAATTGTTGAGTTCCTCGGGCCAAAAAATCTTGTCATGTTTGAGAATTTGGATCTTTTCAGCATAATACCATCCCCAATCACGGCAAGTATCACGATGCCAACCAGTTGCAGCTGCTCTTTCATGCTCTTCTTGATACCGCTTCAAAAAATGTAGTGAATGAAGATAGTATTTAAGGTTGAGCTTGTTTTTTGGAATCTCATGCTCTCCTTTCAATTGCTGCAGATCCTCCCAAATATGGCAGACAACCTCGGGGCTGGCTCCATATCGGCTCTCAAAACGTTCCAAGTTCGTGGCCTCCTTGCAACGTCGGATACTACGCTTTTTGATTCCTGCAAACAGTAATCCTTCTTTGAGCATTTCCTTTGGTGTCAAGATGATCCCGACATCTTGGTTATCGTCAGAGCTATCATCCTCTGACATCTTTCTGGCTCCTTTGAAGTTGAAAACCTTGTCTCCTATGAAGAGGCCAAGGTTGCTAGCTGGATAGAGCTAGCTAGTCCGCCTTGTGGACTATGCTACTGCTGCTAGGCTCAGAGACTGCTTCTAAGCTCAGAGCAACACTATTAGTAGTTGTCTTGGACACATGTGTGTCAATTGGATCATCTCCTAATTTCGTCTCCTAATTTATTTTTTTCGTCTCCTAGCAGTTTACGATCGTCTCCTAATTTTAGGAGACGATCACGATCGTCTCCTAAATCTTTGATAGGAGACGTTTTTCATCTCCTAAATTTTTTGTCTCCTAAATTTTCGTCTCCTAAAATTAGGAGATGATGCACGAATGACGTATCTTCTGACGTCACATATTCCGTGACTCCGAAACACGACTAATTGGTAGCACGTTTCCACAGAGGTCCTGGTTCTTGCCAGGTTGTCGGATTCCTTAATTATCAAACACCCATTCCCTAAGTACCAAAGATCCATGTCTGAGCATCTCACATTTTCACCATACTTAGGCTAACCCTAACGAAACAATGCAATACACGGCTCTTAGCCTTATTCGCGACTCGATCCTAGATAGGGTCTGAGTTCGACTCATGACGTAGTCCTTCGCGAATAGTCATTGGAGACAGAATTCTCAATGACCGCTCTAGTCATACTAGGTTGATGATGAAACATCGCTCTAGATATTTAGCCAGCGTGGAGCACTTCCACGCTACTAGATAAATGCTAGACGAATCTTCCACGCGTTCCGTTTTGGGATCGTGGAGAGAGTAGGATTGCTACCGCAACCTACTCTATCACACTTTACAGTCTCCCGCGGGAGTTCAGATCTACGATCCTTTGATTGTGGATCTCTCTCGTTGATTAGTTTTTCATAGCTTTCTAATCCTCTCATAACTTTCATTCTCTCAAACTCAAAACACTCGAAAGATCTTTACACTAGCTTTTAGTGTAGTGCAACAATGAAACCCCCAACCACCTCGGTCCCCCGGTCCCCCGGTCCCCCTATTCTCTCCATGATGGCTCTGAAGGCCACCAAACCCTCCTAGGCAAAAAAGAAGTTACTATACTGGAACTCCCCCGATGACGTCAGTTTAGCGATTCGCGAGCCGTTACTAACAGAACGTGGCCGCGAGTCGTGCAACTCGTGCAACTCGCACTGGCTTAAAATCGTGAGTCACGTTAACGAGTACCGCGAGTTGCACGAGTCATCGCGAGTTGAATCGCGAGAGGACGAGACCACTTTTTTATTTTACTCTCTCCACGATGATTGTTGGCAATGATGGCTGTCGTTCAACCTTGGAGCCTCAAGCCATCATACATCCTCAAGCGTGGTCTAGTAGCATGCCGTGTTGATGAGGAAGTACAGAATAGGCGGTGTTTGAATACCAATGTGAGAGTGTTTAAGGCTCATTTTGGAAGACACCCCGTCCATCTCGCAAAAGTGTGGCGTGATATGCAATTGTTTGGCTCATCATGACAGTAGAGGAGGCCAAGGAGATTAAGCATTTTCAAAGCTTCTTACTAGCAAACAATTTCCTTCGACTGTATGGGTCTGAAGATGTTCGAAATGCTCGATTTGGTGGAAACTACGACTATATGAGAGACTCAACGTGGGATTTTGTTCAGCGTATTGCCGAACTGAAAGTTCACAAGATCAAGTGTCCACCTATGTGGCCTGTTAGACTTGGAGCAAGCTGTGATGGCACACAATTGAGGACCAATGAGCCCAGGGATCCAGGGATCCAGACATGAGACGCAATCCAAAGAACTATGCTTACAAATTCAACTAACTTTGCAGGCCTCAACTACCAGATTGTTCTTTCATTGTGGACCAATGACATTTGGTACGCTAGTGGTGGTGATCCAGGTAGCACTCACGACGTGACAGCAATTCGCACAGAGTTTGTGGATATGGTTCCTGCTGGTTGTCGGGTTATTGCTTATGACGCCTACACTGGAAAGACAGATAAAGAAAAGAGGATCTTTTCTGTAAGCAACAGTCTTGATCCGCCAGAAGTCAAAGAGTTCAAAGGAAGAGCCAAAGCCCAACAAGAAACAATCAACAAACGGGTAAAAGACTATGAGAGTATGAGTAAGCCATTTATTCATGGCATTGAAAAGGCAAAGCTCTGTTTTGCTGCCGTGATTGTGCTCAGACAATATGCAATCAAAGACACAAGCCAGTTTGGGGAACCACTCTTCAGCCTTCAGAGACTATCCGGAAGAAACAATGAAAGCAGAAATAGTAGGCCGGTATTGGCTTTGTAAACTATAGTTTACTAAGATTCCAATTTTAATTTCAAGTCGGGTTGGATGCCATTAGATGCCATCGTCGGAAAGGAGATTGTCAAGGATGACATCATCCTCATCTACACCATCCTCATCTTCAAAGCGGTCAAAGTTGTCTTCTATTCCATCACGTGTGCCAATATGATGCTTTTTGTTCGGTTTATCCACCTCCATATCATCCTCAGCCTCTTTGCTCTCTTCCACTCCACCCTCAGCGTTTTCTTGCTGATCAAGCATGCGGTTGATATTGACAGCATGCTCATCCAAGACGTGATCCAAGTCCTCTTGGTACTCATGGACGAACTCGTCTAAATCATTCAGCATATGTTGAATCCAAGCTTCATCATGCCCATCTTCGACGATTCCGTTTTGAGCTTGTTCAAGCCTCTCTTTGAGAATACCTTCCGCGATCATGAACTGAGCTTGCTTCTTCCTATATGGGTCCTTTTGGTTAGCCTCTTTCGAGACTGTTCTTTGGCAATCCGTTTTTGTTCATGGAATTCCTCTTCAGCAATTCGCTCTTGCTCTCGCTCCTCTTCAGCAATTCGCTCTTGCTCTCGCTCCCAAGAAACCATACTAACAACGTTTTCTTCTTCTTTGTCGCTGGTGTAGTTTTCCGAAATAGCTTCATTTGGAGGTGTCTTGATCTCAATACTATTGCTGCTACCAGCAGCTTCCGAGTCATTGGTCGGCGTTTTGATCTCAAGCAAAGCAACCCCGTCCACAACTCCATTGGAGTCATTGTTGGTTGGCGTTTTGATCTCAAGCGAAGCATCGACAACTCCATTGGAGTCATTGGTCGCGTTTGATCTCAAGTGAAGCAACCGCGCAGACTATGCGCGCTCTTCGGTACTCAATGAACTCTACCCTTGACACTCCGACTGGGTGAGTCACTGGTCTTCTGAGTCGTGGGAGAAAACACCTCATTAGGGTTAGGGTTAAATCACGGAAGACAGCTTTGGCGGCATACCAGTAGTGTCTGACGACTCGTCAAACAAATAGAGACGAGAGGGGATCGTAGGGCGTGTGAATTGAGCTGCCGCGGGGCGGTGACCTGCCCATGCCAGTTTGCCCTGCGAAGACGGGGTAATAAATACACTACAATGACAATGAGAAAATGTCGTCACCCAAAGTCTAATTGGAAGTATTGTATTCATTCTAGACAGTATCACTATATTTTATTTTTGTGAGTTCGAATACTTGTCGTGTTATCTTTGTTTCATTACACATAAAAGCGCCATTGTCAAATGAAGAAGATTTGAAATGGGATGGAAAGGCGCTTAAGCCTCCCGGGGATGACATGGTCGGATGGGAGGCGACGGAGGTTGCAGGGAATGGTTTTCCCGCTATCCTGTTTTAGCTCATTTTGGTGCCATTTCAGGGAAAAACCAGTCATGGATGGAAACGTCACTCTGCATCGAAATCGACAATGTCAATATTGACACATGGTATTACAAAGTTCTACTACGTGTTTTTTTGTAGAGAGACGAATTCAAGACGAAATCGACATTTGCGTCGCAATCGATATAGAGTAAAAAACTGTTTCATTTTTTCGTAGAATTTCTGTCAAAAACACCCCAAAACGTCAAATCCCCGCATCCTCAGGGAGCGTGAAGTGTGACATTATTCACGCTTGGGTTGGGATTATGTTG